TTCTCTCCAAGTTTTGACGACAATTTTTTTTGAAAAATAATTTGATATAATGTAAATTTTATTAAATTGGATTCATATTAAAATATACTACGGGTACTAAGTAGTTTTGATGGATCAAATTTTTATAAAATTTATTTATTTAAAATTATATTTCCTCCGTCTCTAAAAGTTTTTTTTCCTTTCTCTTGTTCTTTGTCCTAAAATATCTTTTTATTTTCATTAAAAAATTATTTTAGTTTTATCCCTACTAATTTTTACCCTACGTATCACATACATCATACATATGTACTACTTCCTCCATCTCTATTTTGATTACAATATTTTTCTCTCTCCTCTCGATCACTTTTGTTTATTTACGCGATTTCATTAAGTATTTGACAAAATAAAATATTATTGTCACCTCTTGTTTTGTAAATCTTTTGACGTAACTTTTTAATTTGTAATAATTTTTATTTCTTATTGATGTACCGATTTGTAAATAAAATAATTTCAAAAAATGAGAAATTTTAACTCGTAATTCCTAATTTGTAATCAAATTGGGTACGGAGAGACTATTAATTTACTCATCATATCATATGTTTATCAATCACATCACAAGTAATTTAAGAAAATCTACACACACAAAAATATCATTTATTTAAATCTCATAAAAGTCCAGATAAGAAGAAAATTTAAGAATCATGAGAGGCTTCAATTTGTGATTAAGGAATATAGTAATTTGAAAAATAAAAAAGTCAAACTACAGTCAATTTTACATAATTTAACCATGCAAATAATGGAAATAACTCTTATTTTGAGAAGCAAAGAATGAATAAGACAAAGGACAAGGCCAATTGGAATTGTAGTCTCCAAGTTTGATTGGGAGTGGGCTACAACAAGAATATATATAATCCTCACCTTAGAATATTCCCTTCTCAATATTTTATCCCCATGCATATCCATCGGCATATTCCCATAAATTTATAAAATAAAATAAAAAAGAAAAAAAATCATTATCCCCTGTCTATTGTAATTCTTCTCCATTGCATTTAAACCCCTTCCACCCAAATATTTAACGTCTTTTTCTTTCTCTGTTAATTAATTAATTAACCGCGCAATTAAAGAAACATTAATTCATCTCTCGGCCCCTTATTTATATCCAAGTTTCAACAGGTTTCTTGACATTCTTTTTTCATATACATATATATATACGTGCGTTCAAATAGTTTCCCAAGATCAATTAATATAGATTGACTTTAATTACATATCCCCTGAATATTTATTCAAGCATTTAATTAATTCTCGGAATGAATTAAATTTTCTATCTTGTTATATAACAGATACATAGATAGATAGATCATTATTGAATATTGAATTGCCCCTTCTCTTCTTGTCATCATTAATTCACAGCATAGAGCCATGGCTGGGTTCTTGAAGATTTCCATCGCTCTCTGCCTGTGTTTGTTGGCTGTTGGCTGTTTGTGTCCCGCCGCGGCAGAGCTTCAGACCTTCCATCACCCCGCACGGGGCGATGGCAGCCTCATCAGTTTCTTGGTCGTCGGCGATTGGGGAAGAAAAGGGGATTTCAACCAGTCCCGGGTTGCCTCTCAGGTTCTTCTTTTTCGTAACGTCTATAATTCGAAAATATATAGTAAGAGTACAATTTTTTTTAACGCGTGATTATATGTGACATTAATATATATATATATATATATATATATATATATATATATATATATATATATGTGGATTGGTTGATGATGTGCAGATGGGAAGAATAGGGGGGAAATTGGACGTGGATTTTGTTGTGTCCACAGGTGACAATTTTTATGACAATGGGTTAACAGGAAAAGAGGACATGGCGTTTAAGGAGTCCTTCACCGATATATATACTGCAAAAAGCTTGCAAAAACAATGGTATTCTGGTATGTTTTTTGTGTGTGGTTATATTGATGAATTTCTTCATTCTCTGTTTTTATTTCTTCTTCTCTTATTAATAAAAATGTGCAGTTTTAGGGAACCATGATTATAGGGGAGATGCAGAGGCTCAGCTCAGCCCTTACCTTAGGAAAATTGACAGCAGATGGTTGTGTTTAAGGTCTTTTGTTGTCAATGCAGGTCACCATTGTTTTTTTTAAAAAAAATTCATCTTGGATAAAAAGAATTACTACTATTGCCAATTTGGATATTTATTTAAGGTTTTACGAAAATGTTCTTGCAGAAGTTGCGGAGATATTTTTCGTTGATACGACTCCATTTGTGGAAGAATATTTCTCTTCTCCCGAGCACACGTATGATTGGCGTGGTGTGAATCCTCGCCAGGCTTACCTCGCCGGTTTATTAAAAGTGAGTTGCTACCCTATTCTCACCTGAACCAAAACCCGAGCACACACATTGATGAAGTAACATTATGTTGATATGGTTAATTTGTTTAGGATTTGGAATCGGCATTGGCAAAGTCAACTGCCACTTGGAAAATAGTCGTGGGGCATCACGCGATTAGGAGCGTTGGGCATCATGGCGATACCAACGAGTTGATCGATCACCTTCTCCCCCTTCTTCGGGTATCATTAATAACACAAACCATATAAAACTTCTTCTTTGTTTGGCGAGGTTAATTATAACGCTCGCTGAATTGATTATTTTCGTTGTTTCGTATAGTATTCATTAATTATTTGAACGTTTATGAAATGCAGAACTACAATGTGGATATTTATATGAATGGCCATGACCATTGCCTCGAGCACATAGCCGATGATGGAAGGTGAGTAATTAAGTCGACACATCGGTTATTACACTCTTATTTGAACAACCTATATGTCGTACTCTAATTAACCACAAATTCGAACCTTTGGTTTATTGGATTGTTTGGTGCGGGCGGGTTGCAGTGCAATACAGTTTATGACGAGTGGAGCGGGATCGAAGGCGTGGAGGGGAGACGTGAAGGGGTTGAACAAAGAGGGGTTGGCATTCTTCTATGACGGACAAGGGTTCATGTCGGTGCAGCTTATGAAGAATGACTTGGAGATTGTGTTCTATGATGTTTTTGGCCATGCTCTACATAGATGGTCCATCTCCAAACAACATTTGCATTCCACAATGTAGCTATCTAGCTTGGAGTAAATATTGTGTTCTTAAAATTTTTACAATTCTTTTTCTTCTTCCTTGTTTTCTTAGCTTCCACTTTTCAAGTTGTTTTCTTTATACTTTTTTAGAATTAGAATAGATAGATTTGTGAGTGTGTATCAATGATAACAAATTGTTATCACTATTGGTATATTTACTTGTAGTACTCTCTATGTAAAATTTTCTTTTCATTTAAATTTTCATGGATTTCAATGATATGTTTTGACAAGGAATGTTTCTTTTTATATATAACTATATATTATAAAAATTATAATATTTCAAAAACATGTTTCAAATTGAATATATTGATATTAAATTTATATGACAATTCAATATATTTTTCATATAGTTTCTAGGTAAATTTTACTAATAGTATATAGATTTTGACAGTAAATTCACTTTGGTATACAAATTTTTTTTCTTTCACAAAATACTCTAACTTTAACTTTCTTTCACCAAAAGTTCATTAGGAGGTTTCCAAGTCACCAAACCAAATTATAATTTTTTAAATAAATTTTGAACCCATTTTTTCTTTCTTTTCCTTCTCCTCTTTCTTCCTCTTTTCTTTTCTTTTTGTTGCCCATTTCTAAGCCATATGAGCCACTGAAACTAGTTACATGTTTTATCATAATATATGATATGATTTTTAATGTTATTAGGAGTTTCTTTATTTCCTATTCAAATACAAAATCTCATGACTTAAATGTATAAAATAAAATTAGTCTTTTGAACTCTATAGGTCATTGGGATTATTTTTTATTCTATGAACTTGACGTGAGAGTTTTCTTATATCTCATGGCTAGGCTGTTGCATGCGGGGTCGAGGGGAGCGACACGATGCCACTTGGTCATCGGTCCCGATGGAACTATGTCCCTCCCTCATTCGAGATTCGACGTGATTGTGTGAGATAAAATAAGAGTGAAACTAAATGAGAAAAATTGACGTGACATTGAGTTCAAAGACGAGGATGAGAAGATCCACAACCATCATAGGCTTTGATGCTTATTCCTTCGATATGTATCTGTGATACTTTACATGTTTGCATTATGAATTACAGAGCAATTATTGGTAATTTTAGTGTCATCGTACTATTTTACGTAATTGTGATTTTTTTTGAATGAACAAGAATTTTAATAGATGTTGTTAATGAATTTGGATGTACGAAGTCGAAGTGTATGCTCATTTGAAGATATTTCAAATTTCATAGTGGGAGTCTAGGGACGGTAGCCCCCAATAGTAGGGTTCAAGGGGCAATACCCCCGGCAGGGTCCAAGGGGCAGAGGTCTTGGCGCTTGGAAGTCCTTTATATTTTTGTAAATAGACTTCAAAGTAATGTACATTTGAATGTACTCCGTAAAAAACATTACATTCGAATATAATATTTATCTCTAGCATCCTGGGCAAAAGGGCTCGATACATTCGAATGTTTGATCATAAAGATTTAAATGGTTCACAATAAGATGCAATGGCTTGCACAAAACTATGTAAATAACTGTTCATATAATAGTCGTTTTATACATTCAAATGCTTGAGTGCAAACATTCGAATGTTCCACGGAAAGTTGTATTGTTTCATCAATCAAAGGTTTTTTTATTTAAAACGACGCTATGTTTGGTTTTAGAAATTTGGAAGACAAAAAAAAGAAAAAGAGATGAAAAATAAAGTTTTTATTTGGTTAGAGAGGAAAAAAAAGAAAGTTTGAAAGAAATAAAAATAAAAATGCTAACTGTATTAAGAAATACTTTCCATTTTAGTGAGGAAAATAAAAGATTTTTTTCAACTATTAGATAGAGTTGAATCTAATGGCCCTAATTTTGCGTGCATCTAAACTGAAAGTAGCCTAATCGAGAGCCTAATACAGTCCCGTCTCCAGTTCTCGAGCGAGCAAAGGGGAGATACGATTTTTTAGTGGAGTAGAACGAGAAAAAAAGAAAGAAAAAAATCATTAAAGAAATCATAAATCCATTAGCCAAAGCTTGAAGCTTGAAGCTTATTCACTGTTATTCACCAAAAATCACTGCAGAGAATTTGTTCTTGAAGCTTTTATCAGCAGTCAAGAATGGCGGGTGAAGGCGCTGGCTCTCATAAAAGAGACCCCATCAAATCCTCAGGCATTCCTCTACGTCGAACTCCAATTCTTTAGTCATAAAGTTTTTATCTTTCCATCAAATTGACACTTTGAGGTTCTATGGTCTGGAAATTCGAATGTTATGCTGTGCAGTCTTATCCCCTTAGGTTTCTTTTTTACATTTAAACTTTGTGATGCTTTCTTTTTTGTTCACATGGATATGAGCACTGTCTTTATTATGAATTTCAAGTGTCTTCAAGGAACAGCCGCGAATTTGAGGCTAGGAAGAACACATTTGGTAATATTAGGAGTTAATTTAGGGTTAGTTATGTGCAGAAATGAGAAATCATTTGGAGCCCCCACTTAGTTGGTGTAGTGAGCACTGGGCATAGACTAAGGAAAACACCACGACATTGAAACATAACATGTTAGTTACCGAGCGTGTTATAAAAAGCGACACTAATGATTGTAAGACATGATGTATGGGTGTTTGTGTGGTAGCCAGTTGGGAATGTTGCAGCACAAAGAAGAAGAGAGAATGCGGTTACAGTTGGGAAAGAGAGAAGAGAAGCACTGATGAGGACGAAGCGCCTTTGCAGAGTGGGAGTTATTGGCGATGATTGTGACGCTTCTCTTGAATCTGATATGATGATTGATGAAGAACAATCTATTCTGGAGGCTCAGACTTCATCTTCTGTTGAACAATTAAAGCTCGCTGTTTCTCATCAGTATGACACTGCTCATTATTTTTCTCTTCTTTACACACTTTTTAAAAGTTTCTTATATTTTCCTGGAAAATCAAGAGACCATTTATTAACTTTATATGCTGATGATAATCTACATATGTATATACACACATGTTATAAACATATATTATCATCTATTCTCTGACCTTGACATGTTAATGTCATTATCAGTAATCGGCTCTTTGAATTTGACTATTAGGGGAAAAGGTGCCGTGCAGAAAAGAGTGAATGCTCTTCGTGAGCTAAGGCGTCTGCTGTCAAGGTCAGCGTATCCTCCTGTTGAAGCTGCCCTAGAGGCTGGAGCTATTCCTCTCCTTGTGGAATGTCTTTCATTTGGATCTCCAGATGAACAGGTTAGAGGCGTTAGAAGCATAGGGGCGATGTTTACTATGTGGTTGGGCATTTCTCTTTTATTCAATATTTTGGAAGCTAGGGTTTATTTGGCATATCACATACTCCCTCCGCCCCGTATACAATTTTACACTTTCCATTTTCGCTTGTCCCAGCACAAAGTTTACTTCTATCATTGTTTTGTAGAAGGGAATATATGACCCACAACATTTCTATCTCTTCTAATCAAATTCAACCACACACTCTACTTTTCAACCCTTTTCTTAAACTTAGAGCGTAAACTTCTTTAAGGGATGGGGGGAGTATATTATATTTCTTATCAGTATGCCCTTGTGTGGTTCAAAGGACAAGATGGGAGGAAATGTTTTTTTTAAAGTCATATTGGTTGAATGGAGTGTATATGTTTTGCTGTATCCAAAAAGTATGTACAATTCTGCATTTTTTATTATATATTTTGTAATAATAAAAAGGATACTAGGTATTGTTTAAAAACCTTCCGAGGTTCCTCCTAATTACAGGAGGTATGAGGATTTTATAGTTTCTCCACCCTCTCCCTCCCCTAGAAAAGCTACATTCTTGATGGATTGAATGTCAAACATTCTTTTGGGTTTTATAGTTGCTTGAAGCAGCTTGGTGCCTTACAAATATAGCAGCAGGAAGAGCTGAAGAAACAAAGGCTTTGTTGCCTGCATTACCATGGCTTATTGCTCACCTAGGAGGTTAGTTGTCATTTCTCCATATTGGTTGTTTACTTATTTCGGTAATTCTCTAACCCGCTCATCTAGTTTATTTTCCCTCTAAATTGTGCAGAAAAGAGTTCATTGACTGTTGCTGAGCAATGTGCATGGGCGTTGGGGAATGTTGCTGGGGAAGGGGAGGAATTTAGAAGCACTCTCCTCTCACAAGGAGCTTTACTACCTTTGGCAAGAATGATGTTTCCAAACAAAGGATCAACTGTGACAACTGCTGCTTGGGCATTGTCAAACCTAATCAAGGTACTGATTGATTCCAGCTTTTGGTAGATGTTGTACTTAGAGCCTTTTAACTTTGTGGTCATTACGATTTAGTACAGTGACCCTAGAATCCAACCAAATTATTACTTTTAAATGTTCTAGGATTGCGATGTTAGGTTTTGAACACACATCTTGTAATTGTGTAGTTGGAATAATTGTAGGAGTTAATTTTAAATGACAGTATTTGGTTGCTTATGGAATTAAAAGCTTAATATTGCATTGTCTTCATGAGTTGATAATAGTTTTTCTTGATAATTGAGCACTAATTATTCTATATAGGGACCGGACCCTAAAGCGGCAACTGAGTTGATAAGAATCGACGGGGTGCTTGATGCAATTCTTCGTCATTTGAAGAAAGCGTAAGTTGATTTGTTATGCTGATTGGGATGCAATTCTTCGTCATTCATATGCAAAATTTTTACATATTGTTCTATAGTGCTTATTCCTCCCCACCCGGGCAGTGCACCAAACACAATATTTTATTAATTGCCCCCACTTCTCCCCTCCCCTCCCCTCCCCTCATTTGAACCAAACAATGGCTAAATCATTGAATGACCATGTAGTCATTTAATGATTCTTTCTTTTATCATTGAATCAGAGATGTTGAGTTGGCCACGGAAGTAGCATGGGTTGTTGTGTATCTATCAGCCCTCTCAGACTCTGCCGCTTCCACACTGGCTAGGAGTGATCTCTTTCAAATTTTAATAGAAAGATTGAACGGAACGAATAGCCTCCAGCTGCTTATCCCGGTAACAATCTAAACTTAAAAAATAATAATTAAAAATTGATTTAACTCTCAGTTTAGTCAAATATTATATCCATTGCAGCTGCTTATTCAACTTTATATTTATATCTGTTTCAGGTACTACGGACTTTAGGTAATCTTGTGGCTGGTGACACCGTTGTGAGTAATGTTTTTCTTGTAGCTGGAACTGAAATCACAGGCTAGTTTTCTTCTTTGTCTTCTATCTATTCCCTGTTCGTAAAGGAATTACTCTCTCCATTGCTCGACATGAAAGTCTTTTTTGGGACTGAATGAGTGGATATTATTTGACCTGAAACTGCAGATGCATTTATCCAAGCACAAGTAAAATGTTTGAAAAGCGAACATCGTATCTTGAGGAAGGTAAGCTATTTCTATTACTACTTCCGTTTGCTATAGCCTTAACTTGCTTGTTTGGTTTATTCTACTTATTAGCAAAAAGGGACAATAATAGGAGAAGCATTTGGTAAAATCCAAATTCAGCCAGATTAGTCAAAAGCTACTTATCGTGCTGAATAATTAGAATAAGCCACTTTTGGTTGCGATCCAAGCAGAATAAGTAGCTTTTGATTTGTGGAGTACCTAGCTGATCTTTTCACTAATTTTGGCTTATAATTGGATGCTAGTAGTAATTCAGCCACTTATTCTCTTACAAAATGGGTCCTAAAGATTCAATTTTTTTATTTGCAGGAAGCTGCTTGGGTACTATCAAATCTAGCAGCAGGTTCGCAGGAGCACAAGAAACTAATACATTCGAGCGACGCACTGCCAGTATTGCTGCACCTCCTCTCAACAGCCACATTCGACATAAAAAAGGAGGTAGCTTATGTTCTCGGCAACCTCTGTGTGGCCCCCCCAAGCGAAGGTTCCAGAACTCCAGAGTTGATATTGGAACACTTGGTTAGCCTTGTGGGACGAGGGTGTCTCTCTGGATTTCTCGATTTAGTAAGATCAGTAGACGTTGAAGCTGCCCGACTCGGACTGCAGTTTCTTGAATTGGTAAGTGGAGTTGCTACTTTCTTTGCTTTCCTTGATTCAACAACAGTGACAGTCCGAGTAGAATCCCGCAAAAGTCGGGCTGACTTTAGTTTGTTTGGGAAGAACAGGTTCTGCGGGGAAAGCCAGACGGGGAGGGCCCAAAGATTGTGGAGAAGGAAGACGGGATCGACGCGCTGGAAAGATACCAGTTTCACGAAAACGAAGAGTTGAGGGGCATGGCTAATGAGTTGCTGGACAAGTACTATGGGGATGAATATGGACTTGAAGAATAGTAGTAGTATTAGTAGTAGTGATTAGTAGAAACAATTCTTTGGTTTTAATGATTGGATATTGATCTCTCATTTCCTCTCCTCTTGTGTGCCAAAACTCATCTTCTCAACTGCCTTTTGTACAAAAAAAATTGTATCCTGCATTTGCAACCTCTCACTTTTTTTCTTCAAAAACTATTATCTGCTCACTCTGATTTTTCCGAATTATCGCTCTTATCAAGTTCTTACCAAAATCTGGTTATTTTTTCCATTTTTTTCATCCAAAAAATGTTTGTTTTGCTTTCCTTGTTTTGCCACCACCGCCGATGCATCGAAGCAATTGCTCGATCTCTGAGAGATTGATTAAACTCCGGAGTCACCAATACGGGTTTCAAACTCTTGCTCCTGTTAGTTGATTGTAATCGTTGTCTGTTGTTGATCGAGTACTCAATCTTGAAGTGTGGAGCCTAACGCTTTTTTTTACTTGATCCAATAGTGCAATGCCACTCTCCATTGGTAATTTTAATTTTTGGATTTTTCATTTTACTCTAATTGAAAAGAGTGAAATCAAACATAAAAAGACATTCTAGTCACTTTTCAAATATATTTTTTTTGCTATTTATATATGAATAGTGGAAGAACATAAAGGGATTTTTGAACCCTGCAAAATTCACAAGTTTGAAGTCACATTTGGTGAAGAGTGTTCTTCTTCAAGGTTGAGATTTTGAACCCTGCGAAATTCATACATTCTCCATCAAAAACCCTAGCCCGCTCCGATTGATGAACTTCTTCACGAAAGAGATGGCAGCCCAGCTCCTCCGCGCGTCTCCGCCGCCATCAAAATGCGTCATGCCACGGCAAATCCTCGCCTCGCTCCGGCAATCGTCCTTCTTCTACTCGTTATCCTTCTCCAAGTGGAGGAACCCCCGGAGAGTCACGAAACCTAAACAGCCTTCGTCGGTTGTGCCCGACCCCTCGAAATCTGAGAACGAATCGAAGTCCCCCGACCGGCCATGCGAGATTCCGTTCTACTCAAATGTGGCAAATTCTGTGGACCTGATCGGTTTCGTCGAATCCCCTGTTCAGTTTGAGGTTTTGCCCTACGACAGGTATGTGGCTAAGACCGTTGTTGTTTCTTCTGGCCGGGAAACAGTTGATCTGGAAGGTAATTCTGCTGGCCCTCTGGTTTCGCTTCCTCGGGTGTCCATTCCAGTTGTTTTTCAAGATGATCTCGCAGTTATGGCGAAATGCCACATAAGGGAGGATGACTGTCTTTGCTTGTCTGGGCAGTTGAGTGGAGCCTACCTGTCTTTCGTCGCACTTGGTAATCATATGAATGTCTGTCTTCTGGTCCAGTCTGTGAACTTTGTGGGGAACTTGAAGAGGAGGAAGAAGGAGCCTGTTGGCAACAAAGAAGGCGACTCGTCTCAAATGGAAGCTGAAAACAATGCCGTTGAGCAGCAGAATGAGGAGAGAAAAGGCCCGAATAAAGGGTTTAGAAAGAAGACAATGAAAGTGGAAGAGTGGAAGGAATGGAGGGAGCTAATCAACAATGCAAAAGAATGGAAGGACTATCGCAGAAAGAAATCCGAGGGAAGTGTGAAAAATGGGCACCCAGATTTCAAGCATATCCAGAGTGGCGCTTCTCTTTGGGTTTGCAGTGCACCTAAATGGATCCTACCCGGACTTGAAGGGCTGGAGTTCAACAATGGTCCTTCTGGGAAGGCAAAAGCTAATCAGAAACAAGAGGAGAATGGAGGAGATGAGCATTGGAAGAGTTTGGTTCAGAATCCTGGGAAATGGTGGGACAACAGATCACATAAGAAGTATGAAAGATCGGCAGATTTCAGACACAAAGATTCAGGGAAAAGACTGTGGCTTGATCGTGCGCCAGAGTGGGCATTGTCCAAATTGCCCCCGCCTCCGAAAGGTGGTAAAACTGCCTCTTGATGCGTCTTTTTTTGGCATCTGTGAATTCCATTCATATATATGTGGTTGGATCCAGCAATGATGATTTTCCAACCAAATCTACTTTTCTAGTGAATCTAACAAAGATTGACAAAATTGATCATTGTTGAATGCCCAGATTTTTGGTGGTTCTGGATTGTGTGTTCTCTAATCTTACATAACCGGTTCTGCATTGTTACTTTGTCAATCAAGCGTTTTTGACATAACCGGTGATGGTTGAATGCCCATTGATCATTTGTAAATTATGTTCAGCTAAAATCTGAGAAATGATGCAAGTTCTTATTATACACACTTTTTTTTTAAATGAATGACATAACTCTCAGTGGATTCCCACGGAAGCTTGAATAGCTCATTTAATTTCCTCTCTTCTCCTTATTTACACCCACAAAAGAAATAAAGAATACAAATGTGCACTCAAGAGGAGCCCTAATTCACATGATTCAATAAAACATGTCAAGTCATGCTAAATCTATGGAGCATTTTGTCACTTCTATCACATTGACCTTTTAGAATGAAGTCACCACAAAGTTTAGTTAAGTTCTTTTGGCGAACACCTCAAAGTTTAAGAACGATTTGAGTTTGAATAATGCTATCGAGTTGGTCTGCTTGCACACCACAAATGTATAACAATGTTTTGCAGTGGTAATTCTGGTAAAGTTCTAATACACACCGGCACAAAATAACTGTGCTCAGTTGCTCACTAGCAACCGCACCAACATTTTGTGCCAGTGTGTACTAGTGTTTTGCCAATACAAAGCACTGGTGGTACAAAGTAGTGTACAAATAGCATTACGAAAAATGTTATGTGTACCCCAGTTTTGTGCATCGGGTGTATACCGTATAAAAGGCCACCCCACCCCTTGCCCCATACAACCCCTATATACATGTGAATTGATGAAGTTATGAGCCTTGATGGACTATTCCAACCAATTTCTATGTTATACCTATCGTTGATCCCTACCCCTTTCTCCACAGTGATACTTTTTTCGATCAAAATTTTAATTATATTCCGTATATTTTTTTAAAATGGGAATTGGGTAATCACTATAAAAGTAATAAAAATTTTGATACTTTTTAACTATCATTCCAGATAATACTATTAAAAAAATCTCACATTCTATTGTTGCTTCAGTATGAGTAACTATTTACAATTTTACCGTGTGGTAGTAGTACGTTTTGCTTAATTAAGTACTCGTACGTTATTGGAACAATTTAAACACATAGCTAAAAAGAGATTGCTACCAACTTAAATATCTATTATTTTTTTTATTTTAAATATTTTTTTGCAATGTTATCCTCACTGGAAACTTTTCGCTTTTGAATTTAGGAAAATTTTAATTTTATTTTTAAAAACTAAACACTTATAATTTTTATTAGAAACACTAAAAAAGATTAAAAACTTGAATTGTAGAAGGTTTTCAATATAATAAAAATGACATATTTAAAGCAAATTCTTCTTTTTGCCTAAAATTTGCAATGCACCCAGAGATGAATTTGATAAGCAAATGTTTATTATTGAGATATTTATATTTAAATTCTTTCTAAAGATAAAATTTTATGTGAGAAGGTCAATAAATATTTCGTTTTTGTTAAGTGCACTATAAAAGCACTATGTGATTTTATGGAAAAATTCACAAGAATACTCCAAGAAATATGTGATTTTATAATAATACTCCGAAGTTGAATAATTTACACCGCTGCTTTCATAAATTGTTTAATTTTATGCCAATACTTCGGGCTGCCAACTAAGCAAAATACGTGGCATTTTAAATGATGAATGTAAATTATTAAGTATGTGTTGATTACTACAAAGTGATAAAATATAAAAGAAAATAATATTTCAAACAAAATAACTAATTTTAAAGTACGTGTTTTTCATAATCAAGTTTATATTCGTTAGAAAGATCTTTAAAATATAAATTCTTGACTATATCAACTTTAAAATTCTCTAATTGTTTATGTGAAACACTATTCATAATTTATCCGATTACAATATAAACACTCTATTTTTCCGTTTTAACACATTTTTATTTCAAATCGACATGGATGGGGTAATTATGACTTATTGAAGGTATTTTATTTCTTTTTTTTAATTAATTACCAAATCATATTTAATAATTATCCAGCCACCATTTCAAATGCCATGTAATGAGCTTTGTTGGCGGTCTTTAGTGTTTGGTGTAAAATTAAATAATTTCTGGGAGAAGTGGTTTAAATTATTTAATTTTGGAGTATTATCATAAAATTACAACTTTCTTGGAATATTCATGTGAACTTTTCCTATTTTTATTTAATTGTTTTCTCATTATTTCTATTTAATTATTTTCCCCAACCATGAATCTTCCCACCTGGCTTATTAACATTAAGGCCTCATAAAGTAAGCCCAGTCTGCCAACTAATTGGGCCAAAGAAACCTGATTCCGTCAGCTTATATATATATAAAGTCCCTAGCGATAGGACGGAGTATTTGCAGGATTAGGGTTTCTTCTCCAGCGGCACTCCATCGTCATCTTCTCGGCCGAAGTCGGAGAGCTCAGCAAACATGGGGTACGGTTCAAAGCTATTCTCCTCGTCTTGTCCTTTAGTTCTCTTTTCTCGAATAGATTATTTATATTCAGATAGTTTATGAGATCATTTGTGGATCTAATTATATGTATTGTGGAGATCTCTAGATTTGCTGTTGTGTTCACGAGTTTTAAAATATCATAACCATTATCAAATGAAGGTTTTATATTCTCATAATATGATTTTGTTTTTGCTCTTTCCGATGATTTATTTATGAGCTTTGTTTTTTATCATTGAGTTTAAATTTTCATTTTGTTAGGCGTACATAACGTTTTTTATTAGGTCTAATCTTAAACCGATGAAGTTCACATGTTCCAAATCCTTACCGGTCACTAGAGAGTTTTTTATGCTGTTTGTTCATTTGATTGAATTTTGCAATTCTTACAATATTCGACAATTATTCTTAACCACATTTCGGTTGAAAATTGTGTTTTTGAGTGTTGGAAGAATATTTATTAATGTAAATGCACCTTATGCCACATTTCATATCAGAGAACTACACATATATATCTTGATTTGTTTCATGTGCATTCAGCTCAGCTGTTTTTATCGATATGTTTCTATGCTTGTTTGGATTACAAGCTTGTGCCTTGACCCCCTCAAACTTCTCCAAATATTGTGCAGCATAATGAATGATTTAACTGTAGAAAGCTAATGTTTTACATATATTTCTGTGATTCCCTAGGAAGACACGTGGTATGGGAGCTGGGCGCAAGCTGAAGAAACACCGAAGGCAGCAAAGGTGGGCCGACAAGGCTTACAAGAAGTCCCATCTTGGAAATGAATGGAATAAACCATTTGCTGGTTCATCTCATGCCAAGGGCATTGTCCTTGAGAAGATGTAAACCTTACTTCTCTGGTTTTTGTTGTTTTACCCTGCCTTTTGGAATTTCCAAATCTAAACTCTCTGAGAATTGCTGTGCTTCCCAATTTGCAGAGGTATTGAGGCTAAACAGCCAAACTCTGCCATCCGGAAATGTGCTAGGGTTCAACTTATCAAGAATGGGAAGAAGATTGCAGCCTTTGTTCCGAACGATGGTTGCTTGAACTACATTGAAGAAAACGTAAGCGAATCTCCTATTGTTCATCTCATTTTAACTATGGAATATTTTTTATCTGGCCCTTTTCTGTTGTTGGTTAGGATGAGGTGTTGATTGCCGGATTCGGTAGGAAGGGTCACGCCGTGGGAGATATTCCTGGGGTCAGGTTCAAGGTTGTCAAGGTTTCTGGGGTCTCACTTCTGGCTCTCTTCAAGGAGAAGAAGGAAAAGCCAAGATCTTGATTTGCAATTCCACCCCCAGTGCCTTCTTATATTTATGCTATTTTGTGTTGTCATCAGAATTGAGCTTGTGTTTTTTTCTTTTTCATGAAACTTTCAGTTTTTACCATGTAGCAACTGTTCTGGAATTTTGTTGGCTGTTTAATTACCATGTTCTGGTTGAACCAAATGCCTATGTGTTCTCAATATCCAATTTCCTAAGTAGATTATTTCCAAGTGATATTAACAGTTTTGCATCATCTACTGGTCTCTATAAAGGGATTGTAGCGCCCTATTTTGAAAGTTCCTGAATTAGTCCGGTCGTCCATTGCAACAAACCGCAACACGGCTCTTTTTCCTCCAGGTGGGGCGGTTTTTGGCTGTCTATTCTAAGGTCCCGTTTGGTACATGGAAAATTTCAATTTTGGTGTTTGGTAGTACAAAAATTGTGAGGATTTGGAATTGATAGTTCAAAAAATGAATTGAAATGGATAGAATTCAATTCTATGAAATTCAATCCCATGGAATTTCTATTCCAATTTCACCAATTTCTTATACCAAACAGACCCTAAGTATTCAAAATTCCTGAAATAGTCCGTCAAAGTAAGGTATCAATTTTTTTCAAAGTTAAGCTTTATTCAATACGAAGTAAAATAATATATTTATGTCATGTCAAAATCTCTTATTTTTTTAAACATTTGATATAGTTTATTATTATGTACTTATTTTGTCCCAATTTAATTGCTTTCGATTTATTTTAATTGAAAATTTGAGTGGAATTAAATAATAAAATTTATATATTTATGAATTACATAAAAATTCTAAAATGGTCCTCGATCATAACCTACATTTAGCGTCTTCTCGACAATAATTTTAGCGTTTAGCCTTAATGTTTAAATAGAAATTTAAATAAAAACGCTAATACTATTTTCACTCAAGCAAGGCTGACAGCCACACGACACGCACACGAACATCCGGTTTCTATGATTAAGCAGTCCCTAACAAAGCAAATCCCTTTGTTTCAAACAAAAGACCAAACCAAATCCTTCGTATAACATACAACAAGCAAAAAGGGGCATCGGGATAATACTAGCGGGCAGCTCTCTATAGTCGATTACAGTCGTAAGCTCCATGTAATTGCAAAGGTTAACCAGCACCTAAAAACATGTGACTATGGGGAAGTCTTGGGACAAAAAAAACAGAAGAAGGAGATGAAGAAACTAAAGCACAGGCAACTATTGACACAACATTTTCAAAGTGTGACAACTGCATTAAGATTTTTTACTTACCCTTTGGAAGGTAATGAAGGCGGTAACTAATGAGTGACGGTCCGAGGGTGCTAAACTTTCCAGCATTGCTGAAAGCAGATTCAGCGTCGGTCTGCCTCTTGAACACGACTTTTGCAATTTTACTCTTATTACCCTTCCCTTCAGTCAATGACTCGTCCAGAGGTCCGAACCGCCGAAACATCTTGTTGAGATCAGCTCCTAGGGGAACAGCTTCTGGATCTTGAAAGTTAAGAATCAGAGTGGTCGGGGTGGATTCTTCCGTGTCTACCTCCACAGTAACAGGTGGATCTTCATCAGATCCGGCATCCATGACTATGTGTCCGGAAGGTTCTTCGGGTTCTTCTGCTTCTCCCTCCACTATGCCAGGTGGATCTTCATCGGATTCAACATCCATGACTATATGTTCGGAAGGTTCTTTGGATTCTCCCTCCACAATAATACCAGGCAGATCTTCATCGGATTCACCCTCCGTGACTATGTGTCCAGAAGGTTCTTTGGATTCTTCTGCTTCTCCCTCCACAATACTGGGCAGATCTTCATCACATTCATCTACCATGACTACGTGTCTGGAAGGTTCTTCGGATTCTTCTGCTTCTCCCTCTGCAGTACCAGGCGGATCTTCATCAGATTTGCGCTCCATGACTATGGGTTCAGAAAGTTCTTTGGATTCTTCTGCTTCTCCCTCCATAATACCAGGTGGACCTTCATCAGATTCACCCTCCTTGACTACCTGTCCGGAAGGCTCTTCGGATTCTTCTGCTTCTCCCTCCACAATACCAGGCAGATATACATGAGATTCACCCTCCATGACTATGTGTCCAGAAGGTTCTTCGGAATCTTCTGCTTCTCCATCCACAATGCCAGGCGGATCTTCATCAAATTCGTGCTCCATGACTATGTGTTCAGAAGGTTCTTTGGATTCTTCTTTCAAGGGCATAACTGTGTTGCAATTTTCTTCTTCCTTCAAATCATTGTTTTTCACATCTGAATCCCTAAAATCAAAGAAAAAAGTACTGCAAGACTCCAGAAAGTTATACCCATTCAAGGGATCTTTGGCAGCCAATGAGAGCTTTAAGAGCATCTCCTTCAATGGAGGTAACTCTGTTGGAGCGTTAGAAACTGCATTTGATCCACCAAGTTGAATTGAAGCCTTCGGTATTCGTTGTCCAATCCGAAGAGGCTTCGTAGGCTGGGTATTACCACCATCAGGCTTCTTCATCTTTTTTATTTCTTTCACTTTTATCTGATCCCTCGGTTTCCTCTTTTCATTACCAGAAGAGATATGTTTTGCTTTTTTCTCAGTTTTATCAACTTTTACTCTCTTCCTCATACACCTTCTATCCTCAGAGTGCAGTTTTGGCTCCTTTGCAGTCACACCTGGAATTGCTGGCACTTCAATGTCATCATCATTCTCAAACAAATCACCACATGCTATCATTTCGGGTAGCTCACCAGAACCCCTCCAACGATTGAAAGCCAGCAGCTGAGCCTTTGCCACCACAAACACTAATCTGTTGACACCACCATCACTGCTGGTCGCTAATGACTTCAAACGCTGAATCAGCACTTTAGGGGTAAAAGAGGCAACAGTTGACAGGTCATCACTGACCTCTCTTGTGAATGATTCTTTTCGGATTCCACGGTTGACCACGGTCTGGGTTTTAATTTTGGTTAGAACCTCATTTGAAAGGCACGGGCAAGAGAGACCGAACTCGACCCTTCTAGAGACCTCATCCAATGCACAATCCAAGGCTTGACAGAAAGATTCCGAATAGGACTGAGTTTCCATCTGAATAAAGTGGGTTCTGAAAGGTTTTATACGAGACGCGTCGTTCCAAGCAAATGTATGGTCTCCAAAATAGGCTATTAGGTAGTATTCTCTCTTGGAATACTTCTTGGCTTTCCTAGAAGCGGCAGAAGGTTCAAATATCTGGCCCGGCCACCATGGATGACCACTCACCTTCCCCCATACTAACTCATTCACTTTATACTCTGTTCTACATTCCTGCAGACATCCTTTCCTGTCCAGATCGGGACATTCCGGCAGCCTCTGTTGACTAACACATATTTGGGGGTCGCAGGTAGGGTTGACCGATACAGATTCATTTTCCGCATCTAAATGACCGGCGCTCCTAGAAGAAGAAACGCCGTCGGAACTCAAGCGAGCTCCCTCCGATTTCGCAGGCATTACAAAACCCTAATCAAATCTTACGAGCTTAATAAGCACATATACATCAAAGATGAACAGAAATGGCACACGGAATACGACTAAACACCACGGGAAGAGTAATACTAACAAATACTAGTAGAGCTAGTGAGGGGGTAAAGAGAAGAAGGGTTTTACCGTAGTTCGAAGAAGAAATGACTTCCGATGTATTCAGTTCGGCGAGCGCAAAGGATAAATGCGTATTCCGACTAACGAGTTAGGGTTACGCCGTCGGGAATGGCCGCGGACGGCGGTGCAAATGAAAACAAGCAAACGGGCAGACGTGTACGGCTGTGGTTGGGCGGAACGGAGAAAACCGTTAGCGATGAATTTCTTGAAAGCACCATGGACGTCCTGATAAGTTTAGCAACGACCCCATCTTTAGCTTGGATTTGTCTTCTTTTCTTGTTTTTTTCCCTTTTTTATTTTTATTAAACCGCATTGGTCATTTTGCCTCCTCCTTTTTTTTCAATCTTTTGAAAATCGGATCAGACATCAAACCAACGAGGCAAGTAGTTCAAGGCAACGTGTCGAGTTGGGTTGAATCGAATCAACGACCCGGTCAATGTATATATAACATTCCTACAAGTCTTCTTATATATTTTATACATCTAACATTTCAAACTTATATTTTAGAAGCCCGCTGGGTAGAACGGGTTTCAGCGGGTTTTTTTAAAAACGGGGTTTAAGATTGACCCGGACCAGTTCGAGTTTAATAACTTTGTTTTTTTCTTTTCGTTTTCTTCTTCCTCTTTTGAAATAAATAAAGTTTTGCATTTCATTTTACCAAATGTTCATTTTCACAATAGTTACTATTTTTAATCGTGGCATTGGAGAAGATTACCTAACAACATTTAGTTTCCGTACTTTCAATTTTTTATGAATAGAACGGTAAAAGCTAAGGACCAGCGAATCGGACGGGCGGAACCGGTCTGAGCAACCCGACGGGTCGGATAGGTTTCACCGAGTTTTTAAAAAACGAGTTTTAAGATTGACCCGGACCGGATAAGTTGCTGGGTCACGGTCCAATCCAGGTTTAATAGTAACCCTTTTTTCTTTTCTTTTCTTTTTCTTCTTCCTCTTTTGACTTTTGAAATACTACCTCCATCCCATTTTATAACGCTTGTTTCGGTTTACGATGTTTGACTGAAATTATTTTCAAACCATTTTATATGACAAATGGTATTGAATTAAAAAATAAAAATTACATATTAAAAAACTACATCAAAAGATCTACAAAACTAGTAGTGACAATAATATTGTAAACATGCATTATAATTTGGGACGGAGGGAGTAAATAAAGTTTTCCATAACATTTGACCAAGTGTTCATTTTCACAAGAGTATCAACTTTTAATTTTGGCATTGGAGAAGATTATCTATATGTTGACCGGAGGATGTAAAGGTTTGCTTATGCAATAGTTGAGTGGATTCTGAAATTCTTAATTTTTTACTATGAATGTGATGCTTGATTCAATTTTGTAGACACTTGAGACGACTTTAGGTACCATTCTAAATGAGGCTTATTTATAAACATCTATGAGACTACTCAAGTTTACGTATGAAAAATATTTAGACTATGCATGCATTTCATATTAAAAGATCTGTATTAAAAGTATCAGGAATCCATGCCTGATACTTGCAAAAGATCTGTTTAAATCAGTGGGAAAAAATTATTTGAGTACTATGCATGCATTTCATATTAGCTATGGCAATCTTGAGTCAATTTTTTCCCTAAGAATTTGTGTTTGTTAAAAGCTAAAAAGTGCTTAAATAATCACCAAAAACAAAGGCAGAAAATAGGTACGAGTGCTTGTGTTCTAGTATAAATCAGATCAAATGCACACACTACTGACTTTACAAACCTTAATAAATCAGACACAGAGCTCTGACATTTGAGAATGCAAAGATCAATGGATCGTGCAATTAAAAACAAAAAAAAACAGAAAACAAAACATGTAGCAGAATGATCCAATTTACATATTTAATCCTCCTCCGGAGAAGAACCCCTTAATCACTCCAGGCCTGGCATTGGAACCATCATATGTCGTCCCTGTGAAACATAAGAATGTTCATCAACTGTTTTAAACATAAAGCCACTTGGTGTCTCTTAGAAATAGTGGTCTGCATACACAATAAACACCCTCTCCATTATTCTGGGATTTTACTGGATTTGTTGTAGAAAACCCGTTAGATACGGTGAATCAGCTGTTAAACTCAGATGGTTGGAATTCATACTTCTATCAATTTTCACCGTTTGGGTAAGATGAGATTACCTGAGAGCCACCATAGCTTATTCCTTGTGAGAATGAACCTTGATGCAGAAGCTGCAGAAAGTTGGAGAAAACGTCAAAAAATTGCTTCATGGTAATGTAGTGTTCCTTAATCAGATGAGCAGCATATGAGAATGAGGCAGTACCTGCGAATCAGGGACCGGGTGTCCTCCATCTCTTCTAGTGGAGGAACCTTCAGCAGCCTTAGCAGATCCCTTTGTGTCTCCCTACCGTAAGAAAAGAAATTTTTTTAACCCGAACAAAAGAAGAAGATAAAACATATATCTAAGCACTGTAAAAGAAATGTCAAGGTGTAAACCTCCATCTGCAACAGCCATTGATTGAACAAGCAAGATGCACAAAGCAGGATACACGAAAAAGAAAAGTCTATCAGCTTGAAGTCATAGGTAAAGGTTAAACAAATATGAGCAGTTGTGAGATAGACGGACGGTTTATGTTTATGACTAACCTCTCTGTACCGATTGAGGTAAACTCTGAGTGGATCAATATAATCCTCAAAGCCTAATGTTGCCATTGCCCAGAGAAGATCATCACCATTGATAGTTTTCCTTTTCTCCTTCTGACACTTGTCGCTTGCCCTTGACAAGCGAAATATCACCCAAATTATATTATCTCAATAGAACACAATCGAAGAAGAAACCAAAAACAACTTTTTCTTACGCAAGAAACGATTTTTACATTGCGAATCTTGCCAAAAGCATTAGAGGTTAAAAGGAAAACCTCTCACAGAACAATACAAAGGTGAATTACGCATAAAGGTGGAATTTTTTTTCAGTCAAAACCCCAAATATGAACCAGATTCTTGCATCAAGCGGACGGAACAGCGAAAAAGAAATGAACTTTGGACAGAACATAGACATACTCGCTGGTGATAAAGCTGATGAACTCAGAGACGCATTCTTGGACAGTCTCCTTGGCATCCTTGGCAATCTTACCGTTGGGAGGGAGAGCCTTCTTCATGATCCGGCTGATATTGGCGATGGGGAGAAACCTGTCCTGCTCTCGAACATTCGACCTCGGGCTATGATCCCCGCTCTCGTGGCTTCCGCCGCCTGGACTCCCCGGACGCTGCGAGGAACCGTGCCCGTCCGCCATTTCCGCCGCCGCAGAAAACCTCTAGAATCGCACCTGAGATTTTTCCTGAGAAAAAGAAAAAAAACCCAGATCTCCGAATCATTCATAACACAACAACAACAACAACAACAAAAACAAAGCGAACAAACCCTGCATCCGCCATGGAGGGGGGAAAGAGGCGTTCGGGAGAGAAAAAGGAGGGAAATTCGAAAGGGGGGGAGAGAATAAATTACCTGAGGATTTGTAAACGGGCGGAGATCGGACGCTGGAGAAGAAGAGATGGAGGAGACGACTGAGATGCGAGTTGGGTGTCGGGGTTAGGTTTATCGACACCGTTCGTTGTCATTCATTGTCTGTCCCTCCCTCTGTGGGCCACTCTGTTTTTCTCTCTCTCTCTTTTTTTCTTTTTGTCCACATTCGGATATTGGGCCCTGAAGCCCATTACTTAGGTCCATACTATTGCAAAAGTTAGGTATATGCCTATGGACTGTGGTATTGGGCTAAATTTGGTCCTAAAGATTACAAACAGCCCGGAATATTTCTGAGTTTAGACCAACTACCCCATAGAGAAAATGTTTTTACTTTCGACTAATATTTTCAAAAATGAGTAAAACTAGTTTGTTAGACTGTAACTCGATTCCAAAATCGGTCTGGTCCAACTATGCAAACCATTTTGTAATTGGCCTAGAGGAGAGTGTCGGACCCACCAACACAAGGGACCAAAGTCAGAACAATTACGGTATTGAGACCATAAACTATTTTCTTCTATAAGTTTTTTAAATAGAAAAAGAACTTCATCGCTCACAAGGATCGAATCGTATACCTTCCTCCTACAAGATCATGTCTCGAACCACATGAACCACTAATCATCAAAGCTTTTGCGTGTACGGCCCCACAAATAAAATATTTTTTCGCTTTCCACAAACTCGGACCGAAATAGTCGGTCCAACCGATTAGACCACGACCTAGTTACAAGATCAGTCTTGTCCAACGATGAAATCTGTTTTCTAATAGGATCAGAAGAGACCGCCGGAACCCTCGACCAAGGTTTAGGCCATAAACTATTTTCTTATTTTTATTTTTAACCTAGAAAAAAAATTTAGTCCCCAGAAGATCGAGCCATAGCTTGCACCTTCCTGCTACTAGACTATATTTCGACACTATAAGTTCTATAACCCAGTTGCACTACTGGTTTCATCCAATGATGGAAACAGTTTTCTAATTGGCTCGGAAGAAATCGTCTCACCCGTTGACCTTGGTGACCCAAGTAAGCCCGAAGAGTTCTTGGGGTCAAATCATAAACTTTTTTATTCTTTAAATTTTTTTGTAGAAATATTTTACGTGAAACTGTGTTTTCCATTAATCACCGGGAGTTTATATACATAACCGAGAATACAAGGCACGGGCTCAAGCTATACACGGCCCAATACACAATAAAGAAATCTATATAAATATACTAGGCTAACACTCCCCCTCAAGTTGGAGCATGAAGATCATAAATGTCCAACTTGGACAACAAACTGCGAAAAAGAGGACCGGAGAGGGCCTTCGTGAAGATATCCGTCGTCTGAAAACGCGTAGGAACATAAGCGGTCACAATATGATTGCGTTGAAGGCATTCTCGGACAATATGGCAATCAATATCGATATGCTTCGAACGCTCATGAAACACTGGATTAGCGGCAATGAACAAAGCAGACTTGTTATCGCAATATAAACGTGGAGTCGCTATACACGGAACATCCAAAGTGGCTAAAAGGCCACGCAACCAACGGATTTCGGCACATGCATTGGCCATAGCGCGATACTCAGCCTCCGCGGAAGATCGGGAAACAATGGTCTCCTTCTTAGTACGCCATGAGACCGGAGAACCACCCAATAAAATAAAATAACCAGTGACAGATCGGCGAGTAAGGGGACATCTAGCCCAATCAGAATCAGAAAAGGCAGTAAGGACGAGATTGTTGTCACTACGCAACAAAATACCCTGACCAGGGTGGGCTTTGAGATAACGGAGAACACGAAGAGCCGCATTCCAATGATCGAGACGGGGCGCCTGCATAAACTGAGAGAGAGTGTGAACGGCATAACAAATATCCGGACGAGTAATAGTCAGGTACAACAAACGACCCACAAGACGACGATACTTAAGAGGATCACGAATCTCAGCACTGGTAGATCGAGCCAAATTATGATTAACCGGTAATGGAGTGTCCACCGGCTTGCAACCAAGCAGATTGGCCTCATCAATAATGTCAAGGGCATACTTACGCTGAGTAAGAACCATACCATCTAGAGAGCGAGCACACTCAATCCCCAGAAAATAGGAAACTGGACCAAGATCCTTGAGATGAAAACAATCATCTAAATACTTCTTGAACGACGTACATAAGGACCTGTTGTTACCTACCACCAGAATATCATCAACATAAACAAGTACAACCAACATATTAGGGCCACGCTGGAGAACAAAAAGAGTGTGATCAGCGTGGGCTTGACGAAAACCATATCGTCGTAGAGCAATGCGGAGCTTAGTGAACCAATTACGAGGGGACTGACGAAGCCCGTATAAGGACTTACGAAGACGACAAACTTTCCCTGGAAAAAGATGAGTATAGCCAGGGGGTAGTTTCATATAAATCTCATCCTGTAAATCACCATGTAGGAAGGCATTATTAACATCCAACTGATCAACCTGCCAACCACAAGCCACTGCAACAGACAACAAAACACGAACAGTAGCAAGTTTGGCAACAGGAGCAAAAGTGTCAGTATAATCAACACCAAGTTCCTGATGATTGCCTAAAACAACAAGGCGAGCCTTATCACGCTCCTTAGTACCATCAGACCGAAATTTGGTCCTGTATACCCACTGCCAACCAAGAGCACGGTGATTAGGAGGAAGATCAACAACATCCCAGGTATGATTACGCTCCAGGGCCAAATGCTCAGTGGCCATGGCCTCCCGCCATGAGGCAAACTGAACCGCTTCACGGAAATTACGGGGAACAGATATGGCATCAATGGCTCCAAGAAATCCTTTATACCTGTCGTGCAACTTAGAATAATGAACAAACTTAGTGATAGGGAATCGAGTACCAGAAGGAGAAGAACAGGAAGTGACTGGAGCCGGAGTGACAATCTTTGCGGAATGAAGAACATAGTCGTTGAGATGAGATGGACGATGACGAGTACGAGGCGGAAGGGGGGGGAGGTATCGGCGGTGGAGAAGTGGTCTCCACCGTGGAGGGAGTGAGGCTGGCATCATCGTCGGAAGGGACGGAGGGGCTGGCCGTGTCAGACAGAGA